TGTGTATATATATATATATATAAGGAGGATCCACTTACTTCAAGAGAAAGTCTTGGTAGAATTACTTCACTCAATAACTTATTATCTACATTGAGAGAGAAAATAATAAAAAATAAAGAAGGAGAAGAGAAGAGGAAAAGTCATTGTGTAGACTATATTCGCACTAGAAAAATATTTTTAAACTAGAACAAAAGATTCGTTCACCATTGGATTGAGCTTATTTTTGGACAATAGGTTCTTTAGAGGTGGTTCTTCATTTTAGATAATTGGATCTTCGCTTGGACGTTTGGAACAAGAGAAAATATGTTTGTATTAGCAACATTGATTTTTGAGTTTTCATCTTCTTGGTTCTCATTTGTAAGCATTGGTGCTTAACTTATTTGACTGGTTGTATGCACCAATTTGTGCACTTGTTGAAGACTCTTTTGTACCATTTATTGATCGTAGTGAAGCTATTTCTCTTTTGTAATTTTTTGTACCCTTTATTGCACCCTATATTTTCACATATCAAAATTCTATATGCATTTTCACTATCTCTTTTTTGCTCTATTTTATTGGTGCTTCTCACCAATTCTTGATAGTTAGGAGTTTTTATTTATTTGTTATTGACTCTTTATTATTGTATTAGTCTTTTCCTCATTATTATCAATTTCAATGGAACATTGAAGATATATTATTGGATTGGTGTCGCATTGACATAATTTTTTATAATGATAAGGAACATAATTTGTGCACGGTAGGATGCATTTCTTTATTGATTTATTTTTCATTCATATTCTCTATTCAATATAGGAAGATTCCAATCATCTTTTTATGATATGATCAAGATCAAATGTAATACAAGTAGTTTTGCAGTTTAAAGAATGATTTTCTCTATTTTTTGAAGTTGATTTTTAAACTTACTTAATAGACAAAACGAATATGAAGATTTTATTTTATTTTATTTTGAAGGTTCCAACAATTTTGTTTAGTTTTTCTATTTTTTTTATTTTTTTTTTGCATTGTTAAACTTGAAAGGTTGGTATTTACATGATATTTGGGGTTATTGATTCTAAATTTTGGGTTTTCTTAGGGTTCAAAGTTCCTTTACGTTACAAATTACCTACAAAATATAGTTTTATTTACTTCAATTTAATGAAATATATCCCAGACAATAATAGAATATATGAAAATTATTATTAAAAAAAATTGATTATGTATCAAAATAATTTTAAATGTCTTAAATTATTTTTGGGATTTGGTTTCTATATATTGTAATTTCTACACATCTATATCTATATATATATTAAAGGAAACATGGTAATTCATGATCAGTTTTAACTTATAATCTATAAAAAAAATAAAAATAATATCACATTTTGATTTTTTTTAACTTGTTTTACACTTTTATAATTACATATTATAATTTTTACCCTTATTTTCTATTCAATATTTATTTTTGTCCTTTTTCTCCCTTTAACTTTTCATTTGTCAAAATTAATTGTGTGACTAACAAGTGTGATTTATATTTTCTATTTAATCTTTTGTTTATTATGTTTTCTCTACATTTTCAAATAACAATAATATGATGGAAAAAAAATAATAATTATAATAAAATTAATCAATCATCATTTCAAAAAAGTTTCTTATGATAAGTAATATTGGTTTTACGGTGATGTCTTAGATTGATCTTTTTAAATTAATGCAATCCAACTATCATGTATTTTATGTGGTCATAATATTTTTGATTGATCTATGATATTTATATATATATATA